TTCGTAGTTGAGGTCAGCGAAGCGGAGGCCGGCGCCGTCGAGGGCCTCGCCCACTCCCGACTCGATCAATGCTGCCTCGGTGTCACGGACATGACCGGGGCCCTCGCCAACGACGACTTCTGCGCCCCAGCCGCGGAACACCTCGGCGGCGGCGATGATCATTGCCGGGTGAGTCGTCATCTGCGGCCGCTCGCGCGAAGGCTCAACGAGATTCGGCTTGAGCAAGACGCGTTTACCAGCGAGTTGGGGCCCGTTGATGCCGACCGCCGTCAGCCCGTCGCGGATCGTCTGAGCAAGTTGTCCATCGTAGCGTTGGCTCTTGGCTACGAAGACAGGCGTCTTCGAGCGTTTCCAAGCCAGCGAGAGCAATCCGGCCGCGATGAGACCGCCCGCGGCGAGAGCTGTGCGCCGGCTGACCTGAAGCGATCGTGTGGATTCAATCATCGCGCACCCGCGCTCTGCTTGAGGATCTCTTGGGCGGCGAGAGTCAGCAGCGCTGCCTTGTGGAGGCCCTTCTGCTTCATGACGGCGGTGGTGAGTGTAGCAGCGACTTGCACGGCGGTTGCGGCGTCGGTTTGCTGGTGAGCCGCCAATCCGCGAGCGGCCCAAGCGAGCGACGCGGCGCCGGTGGGGCGATCGGCGACAAGCTTGAGTCTCTGGATCGTCTTCTTGAGACGCTCGTCACGAACGTCCTCGGCGGAGAGTGCCCATGCGACGACGCCGCTGGAATGCGTGTGCTCTAGCAGTTCTTGGTCGAGAACAACCGTGTTGCCATAATTCGCGCCACCAGAAGGGAGGAGGCGATCAACCAACAGCCGCACACCTTCGAGACGGCGCGCGTTATCAGCAAGTCCCGCCGCCCTCAGGGCGACGACAAAAAATGCCGTAGGCTCAAGCCAAGAGTGCGTTGCGGGGGCCCACGACCAACCGGCTAATGCGGTGTCATGACCGAACTTCGGGTCGCGTGGCCGAGTCCACGGCTGTTGCTCTAGAGCCCATCCAACGCCGCCTGAGATGCGATCCGCGTAGGCAGAAGCATCGACGGCCTGCCATGCGATCATCGCGAGCGCGGTCGGCCAATAAGGGGCGTCTTGTGACTCCGTCACTCCGACGGCCCCGTCCGGGGCTTGTCGCTCCGCGAGCCACTCGGCTGCAACATTGGCAGAGTCGTTACGACCCGCGTTTGCGAGCGCAACGGCCCCCCAGGCGATTGGTTCGCTCGCCGCTTCGCCACCCGGGTGATAACCCCCGATCGGCGCTGCCGCGAGGTGATCGACGGCGAGGTCGATGGCAGCGGTGAGTTCGGCGGTAGGGAACGG